TTTTTTTTTTTGAACTTCATAATATGTATTTATTGTCCAACCAATACATATCACCCGCTGGTGCAAAATCCAAATACAAGTGTAAAAATACACGTAAATTGGCAGCACATGGGGAGCCGTGCGAGCCGTAGGAAAAGTAAAATGTTTCAAAACACTAAGGCATATCCAAATCAACAAAAGCAGACAAGATACAATCAGGAGCTGGAGACAAAACTAACTCATAACCAAGACAGTTTGACCAAATGCGGTTAAGTGCACGAAGAACAAGAACCCACTGGGAAAAAGCAGGGGAAGGATAAAAAGGCCGTGGTGAAAGCATATCAATTGCAATGTCAAGAGGTAGGCGGGGATCGTCAGGCGGGCCTAAATCAAAACTAGCAGACAAACTAGCACGCAAATGTAGACACACAGAGACATGGGCACGCGACACTTCAGGGCCATCATGACAGTTCCTACAATAAGGTCGGGGGTTTGGAAACAGGCGGCCAAGCCGATATAGCAGGAACAAACGAAGACATACTGTTGGGAGATGTTGGTGTGGGGGTAGCAACAAAGGGTGGCGAAGTTTCAAATTGCGGACAGGGGCAAACGAAACTGCAATTGGTCCATTATGCGCAACAGCTAAAGACTGAAAATGCAACATCAACGGATGAAGTGGGAGCACAACAGGCATAGGAACAATGAGATCATTGTGACAAGCGGAAAAATAAGGAGATGAACCATAACCGACTGGAGATGACCGATAGAATTGCAACACAGCAGCTGGTAACAGAGGGCTGGAATCACTAGACCAGCGAGCAAACATACGTGCCTGAAGGTACTTCAGCCTGAACTCAAAAGTAGGAATTTGCGCTAACAGCAACAAACCAACACGCGAAGTGGTATGGGCTATCGAAAACAGACGACACAGTGCATGATAACAAAAACGCTCGAGTACCTGAAGCTGAGCAGTGGAAGGCCGAATAAGTGCTAAACCAAACTCAAGTGAAGGTCTAATAAAAGACAAAAACAACAACCTGGCAACACGAGGAGCAGACCCACCAAAGTACGAGACATAAGGTGCAAAAAGATACAATGAGGCACGAGCTTTCTCTAAGCGATGATCAATAGTTGCAGCAAGATCAAACCCTTCAATAGTAAAATAGTGACCAAGGTATCTAAATGAAACCTCTACAGGGAGGGCAGAGCCATGAAGCTTCAAGGGGGTGGGTAACCGTTGAGAAGATAACACAGCACACTTTGAAGGTGAAAACACAAAATGAGAAGCTAAAGCAAAATCTTCACAAATTTTCAATGCACGTTGGGCCTGCTCAGGGGTGGCAGAAAACAAAGCTATGTCATCAGCAAAAAACAACGAATTGAAAACAGGAGTGTTATAAGAAAACCTAGCAAGATGAGAAGATTCACGACGAAGGAGTTGTGCTAAAGGATTGATGAAAACTGAGTACAAGAACGGAGACAAAACAGAACCTTGAAAAAGACCTCGTGGAAGCGAAAACAAATCAGAAGAACGATTCTCTATAACAACCTGAGAAGAACAACGATCAAACATACTCATCAAAACAGAGATCAAACGGTTTGGAATTCTGGGAAATTGACGAAGACGTTCCCACAAAAGAGGCCTATGCACAGTATCATACGCTGCTTTAATATCTAAGAAAGTAACACAATAAGGCAGAGCAGTGCGGGAAGCCCGTCGAAGGGTAGCATCTAATGCAAAAACACACTCAACACCTGAACGATTGGCCTGGAAACCAGCTTGGGCGGGATCAAGTTTACCAACATGAGCTACAAGCATAGGAAGCAGGGTACGCTCAAAGATTTTTCTATCAACATTGGTTAAAGTAATGGGGCGGTACTGACTAATATCACCAATGGAGCCCTTATTCTTCCAAACAGGTAACAACAAGCCAGCATTCCAGGCAGAGGGCGACAAACCTGAACGGAAAATAGCGTTTGAAAGTTGAACAAAAAGGATAGCAACATCAGAAGCTAACGGCTTAAATAACTCAGCTGGAATATGGTTTGGGCCAGGAGCAGAGTTGTTTGGGGAAGAACGAATAGCACAAACAAAGTCACTAACACTAACTGACACAGAATCATTCAGTGCATGTAGACGAACGTGTTCTGCACTGGCAGAGGATTGTGCAAACTGAGTCTGATAAACGGAGGCAAAGTGATTGCGATAATGAGATAAAGAGGCAGGATCAGACAATAAACCACTTGCAGCTGAGCGCCGTTGATGACACCTACTCGCGGTGGAAAGAACTTTGCTAACCTCGGTTAAAGAACTAGGAGAAGAACTAAACATATTGTCGCCAGAAGCCTCTCGAGCTCGCTGAGAAAGAGACCAAGTACGAAAAGCTTTGACACGCTCACGCGATAGCCGGTCACGCTCCAAGCGGCAATACTCAACTAAACCAGGATCAGGATCATCACAGGAAGAAACAGCTAAATAGTGCTTATGAGCAAGTAAGTAGCTCCGTCGCAAGGCCACTAAATGCGGCGGCAACAATGGCAGGGCAGGGCGACGGCGAACTAAACTGGGGGGTCCAATGACACAAGCAGCACACGAAGTAACAAAGGACAAAATAATATCCAATGCAGAGTCAATAAATCCCTGTGCAACATCCACAGACATTTGGGCAAAGGCGGGAGCTTCTAAAATTGGACTGAGCGCAGCATTGACATCAGCAAGGGTGGGATCAAAAAACAAATGTCCCACATCCTCCATTGCTTGAAAGACAGCAGGTTCACGCAACAGATGAGCAGCCCAGCGCTTGTGGGGGGGTGCAGCAGAGGGAGCGCTGGCATTGGGAGGAGCAAAAGAAAAAACAGCTGTAACCGGAAAATGGTCAGAAGCCCAAGGCATAAACTCGCCGTCGGCTAGACGACTATGAACTATGTAAGAAATAGGATCACATTGAAGCAGAGGATTGACAAACAACAAATCGATAATGGAGTCACCATTGCGAGAAGAAAATGTGGGGTTATGACAGGAAGGGTGCTTAACTAGAGAGAAACTAGCGGCAGAAATAAATTGCTCAAACAACCTACCCCTACGATTTGAAGAATGATCACCAGTAGCTAAAAAACGGGCATTGAAATCGCCCAACAAAAGAACAGGGCACGGAGACGACGGGACATGTTGAGGAAGTGAAGCAATAAACTCTTCAAGGAAGGGGTCCTGAGCAATACCACACGGAGGCAAATAATACCCTCCAACCAAAAGCCCACAAAATGTAAACCATAGAGAGGTGCCACCATAACTAGAAACGAGACGGAAATCAGAAGCTCTACAAAGACTGCGATTGATCAAGACTCCCACACCAGCCCGTCGTGTACCCGATGACCCAGGAGAAAAACGAGTGTCAAAAATCAAATCTGGAGAAGGCAGCGGGTCTAAAGGAAAAAGGTGTGTTTCAGTCAGGAGCAGAAAAACAATGTGATTTGCGTGCATAAAACGAAACAGTGAATCAAGAACTCCAAAGCTCAAATTGCGACAATTGAAGGTACCAACTCGAACACTAATCATTGACGAAGATGGGTTGAGCGAGGCTGACGCGCAATCCCGCGGGCACTGTCCAGCACAGTTTCCTGAGCATCCATGGGGAGCTGACCACGGACATACAGGAAAATAGCAGGATCAGTAACTGAACTGAGGATATGTGCATATCTCTTGTGGACAACTTCCCTGACCGCAGCCTCCCGCTGCTCCAAAGGCAGAGTAGAGGCTCGGCGAAGAAAGTCAGGGTTTGATTCGTCAGTGGAAGCTTCCTGGGTGGACAAGTGCGCACGGAGAGCAATTGCGGTTGAGCGAATACAGATAAAGGAAGCAATGTTGCGACCAACGAAACTGATGTGGCGGATACCACGCACCACCTCATCGCCCAAGAGAGCCCTCAGCATGGTCCGCACAAAGCCGAGCCGCTGTCTCATGATGTCCTTGATGTACACAGTGGTCAAATCATCCACACGGGCCTGAAGATCAGCAGGTGGGGAGACCAGCAGCGGAGAGGTCGGAGGATAGAATACGACAGGCCGAGGGCCACGAAGGCTGACATTCGAAGTGGGGTCACGACCAGCAAGGGCAGTCCTGACAGCTTCTGTACGAGATTCAGCACTCAGTGTGGGGAGACTCTCAAGCACACGGGCACGGGCATTGGCAGCAGCAGCGGCATAAGTGCGTGGACCACGAGGTCCACGTGGGGCAGGTCGACTAGACGGGGGGCGAGGGCCAGGAGCACCAGAGTTCCCAAGATCGTCCTGAATTGGAGGATTACCATGCAGTTGTCTAGGGGGAAGGCACACAGGCGCAGCCACATCATCATGGCGGGAGACTGGGGCAACTGGAGGTGAAGGCGAAGGCAGCGGCCTCCCAAAGCGACCCACCAGATCCTCGGCCATATCACGACAAACACTAAAAAATTCAGCAGGAGTGTCCCTCGGCAAATGTGCAAGCATAGGATCCAGCATCGCCAACGGATCAAAGGTTGCACAAACAGATCGCATCTGAGTGAGAACGACACGGAGATCGGCCAGAGATGCAACACTCGAGGGAGCAGCCACAGCAGCAAGAACCCGGACACCCAGCAGATGTAGTCGGGAACGAGAACGGGAGCGACCACGGGGCAATTCATGTTCAGCAGGTCTTTTGGCGCGTCGGTCACGTGATCCGAAGTCACGTGATTCGGCATTTTCATCCTCCCCCATATTCACATCATCGGCCCAGTGAATTGGAGAGGCAGGAGCGGAGAATGGAAGCTGTGGAGCGGAATTTTCAACAGAGGAGGCACGGGGGTGCGAACGGGCCTCAAAAATCACGGTGCCACCAGAAAGTCCATCAGGGGGCACAGCGGGGGGTGCGGCGGGCGGCGCGGCATGCGGCGCATCAGGCGGCTGCGCATGCGGAGCGCTGGGAGGCGGCATTGATTTTTGTGAGAGAGAGTGTGTGTGTGAGAGAGAGAGAGAGAGAGAGAGAGAGAGAGAGAGGGTGTCCGGGATGGGTGTCCGAGTTGGTTAAGGAGGTGGACTTAAGTCCCACTGGCTCACGCCGCCAGGGTTCGAGTCCCTGCTCATCCACTTTGTAAGTTCGCAGCCAGAGACTATTACTTATTCATAACCACAACCCTAATATTTGCGTTCATGGAAAGAGCCTCAGTCAGAGACGTTATTTGTTCGTGACTACCCTAATTTTTGCGTTCTTGAAAGGAGCCTCCTACCTAGCTTATTCTAAGCTCTAGGTTCAATTCTCCTGTCGTTTAGTCTCTTGCAACCACGCAATTGCCCCAAACAAAATTTCTCACATGCTTCCCAATGAGCTTATCACAAAGATATTCCTCTTGTCGACCGACTCATACTTTGCTGAAGGCTTTTACAAGCTCATGCTTGTCAACAAGAGTTTCCATGAACACCTTGTTGGTCTCCAAACTGTCTTCCTGACCACCTACTTCAAAACGCGCCCGGATCTCTTGTTCTTCATCGAGCCGTACCGCTCCTGGGTCGTCCGTTGCGCATCGGCCGAGGCCACTGTTATCTCGCTCCTACGGTCACATCATGCCTATTGGCACGAGAAGACACCGAAGGAAATCGAGCAAGGAAGGAAGGAACCCGACGACGGCTCGCGACTCAGCTTACCCTGCAACGTGGGCGATTATCTGAAATCCTCTCGAGGTAGCGCACACAGACTGGTACGGCTTGCGGTAAAGCATTCGAAACCAGACCTGGTCAGGTACATGTTCCGTGAGCTCGGAGCGAGCGTGGACCAGAAGCACCTATACTCTTTCGAGACCAAAGACATGGGTCGATCAAATCCTCTCTGGCAGCTGGACTTGAGCAGAGATGTTGATATGCTGAGGCTGCTCGTGCGTGAGTTTGGTTTGGATGTGGACAGTGCTTACGATGGGTACACGGCGGTCTTTGATGACTATGTTCGGGACGACTATGCTCTGGAAGGAGAGAGTATGGACAGAGAGGTGCTGTGGTTGATGCTGGAGGGAGGGGGCCCGATTAGTACGATGCTGGATTTCGGGGATTATGAAGATGAGGTGCACTTGCTGGAACGAAATCGGGACATCTTGCTCGATATGTTCTGCAACGAGGAGAGGACCGTGGAGCATGGTGGGAGCACATTTCACTTGCCCGAACAGGGAACGCTGCTGTTTCTGAAGTTGATCAACCGCAGCTATATGCACGACGACTCGAACTGCGTAAAGTTGGTAAAGGATGTAGTTCGTAGAGGCCGGTCCACCTGGAGCGAAGCACATCTTTTCGCAGTCAACAACAACCTGCAACGGGTTCTTCAGGTGTTTAATGAGGACGAAAATTTGGTGAATTGATGCACCGCAAGAGTGTTGAGTTGACCGGGAGTTACACCATTCTTTGAGAAAAAGAATTATGTTGATAAGAATAATATACAGGTTCACAATACAGCGAAAGACCGCTCACGAAGTAATGGCGGGATGGTTTCAGAATCGAACACTTGTCCACAATCCGTATAATCAAATAGGGAGAAGAAGCAGTCCGCATCTCAAAATTCGGTGCTATTCCAACATGCATTTGCGTCATCCTCACACATTCTCGACGCAAGTCCATTTCATCTATAAAGTCCAAGTTTCACACATTGTGGGGATGAGCCATGTTTCCTGGAGCCACACATCTGCCAATGCTTTTGTGCGAAACAAGTCAATCACTCCAGATGCTGAGGAATACTTTAGCAACGTACCGTGGAGAACATCGGTTACAGGTTCCCAATCTTTCTGGGAGGAGACAACACTCGCTTCCGATGCATCTAGCATGTCCGCATCCTTTGGCGCGATGTCGACCATCCGACGCCGTTTCACTTGCTGGGGTTCCTTATCTACTGGTTCATCGTTCTCACGGTGGCGTTTTGTGGCCGGCCGTGAAACTTGTGCCTGTTATGTTTTTTAGACATAGTCGGAGCGCGTATACATCTATGCATACCTGAGTGTGCTTGTGGTACAGATAATCTAGGCTTGGGACCATCGTAACCGGGTCATGATCTGATACGATCAAAGGTGGGGCAGAAAACCATTTGAGTATCCTATCGTTTTGAACCTCCAGAGCATCGAATTTGCTTGCTGTTGGATGCACAGAGAGGCAGGAAGCGTCAGGCACAAGAGTCAATATGGCAGATATTTACTGACCAGTTGAGACAGCGAGCATATCCAAATCCGAAGGGATCCCAGAGTTCGCTGTGGCGGGAGTGGGTGCTGGACTATCGGGAATGGCAGGAGCGGGAGTAGGCGCAGATGGTTGTGCCTTTGGAACTGGCGCAGGAGTTGAAGCAGGGGCTTGATGAGCAGTTGAAGAAGTTGCTATTGAGGGCACGTTTGGTACTTAATTGAAGAAAACAACAAAACTGCAGCTTACTGGAAGAGGAATGCGCTTTAGTGGAGCCCGGAATCGCTGCCACTTTCTTTACCGAAGCTCCAGCTGGAAGTGGCTTCGGAGATACACTCCGGCGCCGCTTCGTCCCCGAAGTTGGAGCGGCCGGTGTATCAGAGTCACTGATGTCAACATCTTCGCTTCCTTTCCTTCGGCCAGGGGACACTTCGTCGGTTGCAAACAGACTCTTAACGCGCTTGGGTACAATGGGTGTGGTGTAGATTTCGAGATCAATCTTTATGGAGTCCTTCCATTGCTTAATCTTCTGCATATGCTCCCGCTGCTCGTTGTATCGGGACTCGCAAACGTAAACCGATTGTCCCGGTCGAAGGTTGCGCGGGCGACCCCTCACATAATCCTTTACAAATAGCACGTAGCATGTGTCTTGGACGTCCGTCAGATAGTATTCTTCCATATGAGTAGTCTTAAAGACTTCGAATTCCATAAATTTCTGAGATGATCTGTGTACCGTGTTCTCTGGACGAAGATACCATGCCCCTTGAAGGTATATTTTTCTAATACCATATTCGTTAGTGCCAGTCGACAATCTGCAGCTATCAATTACCCATCCTTCTTTTTGTACATTTCGGTGATCTGACATATGATAGGTTTTGATGGATCGATGTAATTTTTAACGTGGACGCATTGACCTAGTGACAATACCCATTGAGACAACTTCTACACGATCGTGCAATCAGCTCACCAACGGCAAAGGTCTGGCCATTGTGCTCTGCTTCTGGTAGAGAGGAGCGACCTTCAGTTGGAGCTGGCTTGGAATTCGGCGGTGGTCCTTTCCCGATTGCATGCATGAACACGGCCTATGAATGTGTATTAGACACACTTAAGCAAAAACTACCTATTCCAACCTGGAGTTCTGTTGCATCTTCATACACGATTGAACCTTCCTCGTTAAACTGATGCGCGTTGTCAAACATCAAAGACAGGTCAGATTCAAACTGGTTCATTGAAGTGTATTCGCGCTGCGAAACTTTCTTCTTAATCATATCGATGGCAATTGGTTTTTTGATCTGAACAAGAACCAGTTAATTGGACTGAATCGAAACGGATCGCAGCTAGCTAATACTTCAACGTAGTAGTCTGGATAGTCGTTCGCATTTGGGAGTGTAAGGAAGATTTCACATATGGCGCGGCCTCTGGCGTACACAAGGTGAGATATGCGGTTGGAGCGTATCGTTATGTGACATACTCGCTGTTTTTGTATGATGTTAGTTTCTTGATTATGTTCCGGAGCTCATCTGGTGAGGGCTGTCAAAATGTCAACGAATGGGCAGCCGTTTATTTAGTCTTCTTGTATCTTACCTTCTTTGGTGCGGGTTGACGTGAGCTATTCGGTGTCGCTGGTGTCGACGGTGTGGGTGACGAAACTCCCGACGATGATTGGGGATGATGTGTCGCTGGGTCCCACACTGTGCCCTCCAGCTCCTTCTTCAAAAGATTCTCCGCCGTTTGCTGATCGGAATGAGGAAATAAGTTACATCTTCTCTGATTTTGAAATCGATTACGAACCATAAGTATCTTTGCGTCCTTCACCACTTGACTCCCCTTCATGTTGTATGTCGCAGCATTCTCGAGCATGAGCTTGAAATCTGCTATCACATCCGCATAGGAGGTGTAGATTCCCATCTTATTCTTTTTCTGGGGTAGCAACGATCGTCAGCGCAACACGAAGTTTTGGTGGGGGTCTCCTACCTGCATGTCGGCAATGGCGATGGGTTTCTTAATCATGACGTAGTAATCTGGATACTCATCAGGGCTGGGAACGACAAGGAAGAGATCGGCAACCATGCGACCGGTGCTATCGTGATATTCGAACGAAGTAAGTTCGGATGGGAGGAAAAATGCCTTTGTCCCCGATCACAGAAACCAAGCTACCTCTTCTCCTTGTAGTTCTCGACGGCATTCAGAACCCGCTTGACCAATTGCACAAATGCAGACTGCATTCTAGAGCGGGTGATTTGAGCCCGAAGCTATAGTAACGTTGGGGAAGCGTGGAGCGGAGCTGGGCCACGGACAAGAATGGGGACGAAGACTTTTTGGGAGATATTTACGGCTGACTTGAGGTAGGAGAATGCTCGGTTAACTGAGATAACTCATGCTAATAGTAGAATTAGACCTACAAATTGCTGCTGCTATCAACCTGATGGAAAGAAATTCAAGTTACTCAATTTCTGATCAGGGAACACTACTCGTCACGTTCTGAAACCGGGAGCTACCGACTCGATCGGTCGCACAGGTGTCCTGCTTCTGTTATCGGTTGATACTCGGTGTTGATTTCGTTGCTTAGGCTCGAACTTCTTACCCGCGAATGAAACCGACAAGAGTGTGAGCAGACAACATGCCGAACTACGAGTGGGAGAATTTGGTGGAAGGGTATTTCCCATTGCAATCGGGATTAATGCAATGTTGATTTCGAGTCTCATGGAAGAGTTATCGGAGGTCTTCGTCAAGGACAAAAGATCTCGCTTCAACATACGCTCAATCCCCATCGGACTCCTCTCTAGCCGAAGGGGCACCACTGCCAGTTCCACCATCTCCGAATGAGGATGTATCATTGAGAGACGGAGGCACAATGCTGATCGGCCGACGAGGGTGGAGACTGAGGTTCTATCTCTATCATGTACAGCTATTGCGGTTCTCAAATCTATTTTGAAAGA